ATAGCATTTTGGAATAATTAATGGAAAAAATCTATTGGCACACACTATTGGTACACCCTCTTACATACGCATGCCTGTGAAGACTTTTTTTTATGTATGTCCCAGACAAAACGTATTTGACCAATACTTTTAGTCTGTGACAGACATAAAAAACGCCTCACAGACATGAGTTTGTAAGAGTGTGTACACAAAGTGTACCAGTCTGATTCTAATTAATGTGAGTGTTTCAATAGGTAGAAGCGTAGAAGTACGGAGGTAGTAAAACATACGAAGGAGTAATTGAGACCCTTACTTACCAGTTGGTATACCGTGGTAGCGGCTCATGGTGAGCATGTTGCTCCCACAGAAAAAAGGTGTGTTACTGTTCACGCGCGTGAACTGTAACTTCTTTTTTGTTTTTTTCTTTGTCCCAGTAGCAGAATGGTGTTACTCACATGTAAAAAAAATGTAACTCACGTTGATAAAAAATGTAACTGCAGACAAGTCGAAATGTAACTTGTGTAATAGTGATGATAAGAAATAAAACATTGATTTTAATGAAAACAAGGAGTCTAATTGCTCAAACACTTTACATAAATAGTTAGTATGTTTTGTTTTTAATATTAAGTTCGCAAAAAATGTTTTTTGTCTTTTTTTTGCCAAAATATCATTATTTTGCCAAAAAAATCATTTTGTTTTTGCAAAAAACTGATATTTTTTGGTTGAATAACAGGGGTTAACTTAAGTAGTCAATATATTTTGCTTTTAATATTAAGGCCATAAAAATGTTTTTTCAAAAATAACTTTTTGGCCAAAAAAATCATTTTTTTGCATTTTTTTTGCAAAACAATAATTGTTTTGTTTCAATAGCAGGCTTTATGTTTGTGATATAATTCATGTTACGGAAAATATAATTCGCGTTCATGGGAAATCTAACTTAGGTGTATGCAAAATTTAATTTGTTGAGGCAAACTCAAATGTAACTCGCGCATTGAAAGATGTAACTCACGCACAAGAAGATGTAACTCGTGCATAAGAAGATGTAACTCCATATAATATCAAATGTAACTACATAAACTGTCTATAAACATACATAACTCACACATACGAAAAATGTAATCTCATATTTTTTTCAAATTTAAATCGAAATAAACAAATTTAATGTCTTTAAAACAAAAAAATATAACAAAGATAAGAAATATATTATAGAAAAAAGTGTATGAATATAAAAAATGTTTTACAAAAAAAGTGTATAAATGTAAACAGAGTATACAAAGTAAAAAATAGTGTATGATTATGAAATACAATATACTTGTTTTATGTGGATTAATAAAATTTTGTAGTAAATTGGTGTAGATGAAGATCATTGAAAAAGGAAAAAACGTAAAAAAGATGAAAGAGAATCATATCAGAAAGCTTGGCAACTAGAAAAACGAATGAGAAGAATAACAAAAAATGTAATGACGAAGTGTAGTGCGAAAAACAAAAAAAAAAGTGGGAGGAAGAAGTAGTGCCTGAGAACGGTGTTGGAGAAGAAAAATTTAGTGACGAATCGGATAAGAATAAAAGTTGGTCAAAGGAAAAGAATGTTGATTACGTTTTTAATTAAAGAAACGGTGCCGTATTGAGATCGGTACAACATGACACAGTGGAGGAGCTAGGGGGGGCAAGGGGGGCAAGCGCCCCCGCTCCGACTAATTTGTTTTACTAGTATTACTTATAATATGTTTCTTGCCCCGGCTTCTTTTTTAATTTTAAAAACAATAAGTACAACTTAAGGTTATTTTAAGATGAAGTGTTAAAATAAATAAAAAAGTATTTTCAGAAAAAGTAAAAAAAAATGAAATATAGAATAAAAGGGGATTAATGTATGTAATACATTTGGCATCCCAATTTGCCAATAATCCGGAGTAGCTCAGTGGAGACAGGTAACACGCTCCCTTCGTATCACCTGTATTCGAATCCCCCCCAGGACGGATTAAGTTAAACTTGTTTTGCTTTTCTTCCGCCCCAATTCTTCCAATTTTATTTTCTTCAGCCTACAACTCGTCCCACACCGGATGAAATAGAGGATTCACTCCTCATTTGAGCCTATATAATCGCTCCTTCATAGTTGATAAAGATTAAGTTGCTAGTAAAGCTTGAGTGCAAGTATTAGCTACAATATAAACAAATATTGAATACCCATTCGATTTTTGTGAAAAAACCGAATAACCGGACCGAAAATTCAGTGTCCGAAAAATTGGGTCCCAACTTAGATCGGTTCGGTTTCGGGTTATAGAATATACGAAACCGAAAGATCGGTTCGGTTCGGATATTTCCTATTTCGGTTCGGTTCCCGAACCGAATCCAGCCCTAGTTCTCACTTCTCCCCATTTGTTCTCAGATTCTGCAATTTTCAAGTAAGTTTCTCATCTGCCAATTTATGCCCATATTAATTATTTGCTCTCATCCCTAACGAAAAGTCAGAAATTATTTGTGTGAATCCTCAAATCTCAGTTCTAGATGCAATTTAATGCTATTTGTATAAGGAACATTTTTAATTCATACTTATTTTTGTTATATTTAGGAGTATGAGTTTGGATAAATTTGTAATTAAGACTAAGAGGTCTTTGGTTGGAGGTGTTAGTTCTTCAATTGTTCCTAATCAGTCTATCTCTAGTGTTGAAAATGTCACTGCGTCAAATGAAAATATTGCTAGAGATGAGAGGAATGAGAGGGACAAGAGAGCCCGAACAGAAAGTACACATGAATGGGATATTATTAGTGATCCATTTTTACGATGGTATGATGGAGCTTCTAATATGCGAGGTGAGTTGAATGGATTGAAGACTCTTATCTTGAATGAAAATCCACATGCGAGATATATTCATTGTTTTGCTCACCAATTGCAATTAGTTGTCGTGGCTGTTTCTCAAAAAAATAATTTTGTGAGTGATTTCTTTGAATATTTGTCCATGATTACTAACATGGTTGGATCCTCTTGTAAAAGAAAAGATGAATTTCGCCAAAAACAACATGAAAACATGGTAGCCATGTTAGAAAAAGGTGAAATTACGACCGGGAGAGGATTGAATCAAGAAAGTACTTTAGCACGACCGGGAGCTACTCGATGGGGTTCACATTTTACAACCATTATTCGTATTCTATCTTTGTGGTCTCCAACAATCCAAGTGCTTGACAATATATTTGATGATGGAATTGATTCGAAATCAAGGGGCAAAGCTAGTAGTTTGGTTGAAAAAATGGAGAGCTATCAATTTGTTTTTATAGCCCACTTGATGAAGAAGGTATTGGGATTGACGAATATGTTGTCACATTTCTTGCAACAAAAAGATCAGAACATTCTTGAGGCTGTGAGCTTGATTAAAAGCACTAAAGAGAAGTTCCAAGATTTGAGAGAAAGTGGATGGGAAGAGCTATTAGAAGATGTCAGTAAATTTTGTGTGAAGAATAAAATTGACATTCTAAACATGGAAGATACAACTCATCGTTCTAGACGCGTTCGCCATCCAGTAACAAATTATCATCACTTTCGAGCTGATATTTTTTATCAGGTATTTTTTATTAAAATTTAAATTATTTATTAGTTGTTATTATTATTATTATCATTATTATTATTACTATTACTACTACTTTTTATTATTACCTTATTGTAGGTTATAGACCAGGTCAATCTGGAAATGGAGAATCACTTTAGTGAGTCAAATACAGATTTACTCGCTTGTTTAGCTTGCCTTGATCCTAAAGATAATTTTTCCAATTTCTGTGAGTCAAAGCTACTCAGTCTTGCGGAGTTATATTCATCTGATTTTTCAGCTGTTGAGCAAATGGAGCTTAAAGAACAACTCCAAGTTTGGATATATGAGATGAGAGGAAATGAAGCATTTTCCACTTTACAAAGTATTGGTGAAGTGTCTAAGAAGATGATTGAGCTTACAATTCACAAATCTTTTCACTTGGTCTATCGTCTTATTGAGTTGGCTCTAGTGTTACCAGTTGCAACAGCCACAGTTGAAAGAGCTTTCTCATCGATGAATATTATCAAGACAGATCTTCGCAATAAGATGGGAGATGACTATCTTACGGATTGCTTAGTATGCTACATCGAAAGAGACATTTTTCAAGCAATTGATAATGAAGCTATTATGCAGCATTTTCAAAATATGAAAACTGGTAGGATTGATTTGCCTAGGTTGCAGAAGTAAATCAAGTAGTATGTAATGAACTATAATTTTTTGTTAAATTATTACGCTATTATTGTTCTTATTATATTTTGGACACGAACTTTAAAATTCTTAGTCTTTGGTTTGTCCCTCCTTGGACAAACCTCTGGCTCCACCGACATGACATGATGTCCCGATCCCACGGTATAATTTATTCTTACTTTTACATTCATTGTCCGTAGATGATTGACCCATATAGTCCAAACCAGGTCGATGATGGTTGACTGGTGTACCAATCACGCATTTATTTATTTAGAAAGAAGACGCGATTCCGTTACGGTCCACGACTCACCTCGCTAATAGAGCCGAGCCTGCGACGAATATGCCGTCAAGATCATAAATTGATGCTTCTTTCCCGCAGAACGGAACTCGCCACGTGTCCCGTAGCAGGGCACCTGGCACCTCGCCCACTCCAGTCCTCGCAGCCATGACGCTCTGCTGAGTCGGCTCTCCTCTCCCGAACCCTCTTTTTGTGCTTTTCTCCCTCAATTTCATGATTTCCTTTTCTTAGCTTAGCCTTCTCTCCGCTTCTCGTCCATCTCTCCTCTGCATGCATATATTTAATTCGTCCAATTATCCATAAATAAATAAATACATATCATATATCATAATAATTGCTTGCCAGAACAATTCGTTATTTTGCAGTTTAGGTTTCCCGCAGAGAGAGATTAGATATTTATATTTAATCATAATTGTATATTATACATGTATACACACACATAACTAGGTATATACAAATACAATCACTAAAATAAGCATCGAAGTTGAGGATTTGAGGTATTCTGTCCGGCGGGACTCGGGAATTGGTTTGCATTCCCCGCCATTTTTCATCAGGTACTGTTGGTATTTGAAGTTTTAGGCCGAAATAAAAAATTAGTGTTTTGATTGATTATCTTCAGCTGAAAAGTTGTGATCTTTCAAAAATTATCAGGTCACGGTCCAGGCGCTGGTTATGATCATTGTTATTTTTCCCGGCGACTGGATGATTTTTGTGGCCTAAACTGCCCAGTTTCGGACGAGTTTGTGCGTGGATTTCTCAGCATTTCCGATACAAGGTTTCCCAAAAGCGGCTTTGCGACCTAGCGCTATTGAACTGGACTATGGATGTTGTGACAGCAGATGATGTGTTATAATAAAGGCGGGGAACCAATATTGGTTTATTAGAGCTCAATTTAGCTGCAGGAGGCGGTAAAGTTATTATACCTGATGGATAGCAATGACAGTACAGTGACGTCTGGCTCGGAAATGACGAATTCTAATGAAGAAAATCCTCGCATTAGGCTGTTGTGCAGTTATGGAGGCAGCATACTGCCCAGACCTCATGATGGGAAGCTTAGGTATGTGGGTGGTGAGACCCGGATAGCGATTGTTAACAGGGATATTAGTTATGAAGAGCTCATGGCGAAGATGAGGGAGCTCTTTGAAGGTGCTACTGTTTGCAAGTATCAGCAACCTAATGAGGATCTTGATGCTTTGGTCTCTGTGTTTAATGATGATGATGTGATCAATATGATGGAAGAATACGATAAGCTTGGGTCACGTTATGCCTTCACAAAGTTAAGGATCTTTCTTTTCTCGCATTTTGATCAGGATGGGTTGCTGCATTTTAGTGATGGGGATGCAAGGGAAATTGAAAGAAGGTATGTGGAGGCTTTGAATAACAATCTCAGTGATTCCCCAGAATATAAGAACCATGGCGATTTTGGGTTGGATGACATTCACATCGGGGAGCACTACTTTCCCCACATGAATCATGAGTGCTGCCTCCATAACCAGAGAAATGCTGAGATGCAGATACCTCACATTAACTTGCATCACCTTAACATTCCTCGTCTGGGGTTGGGACAACAGCAGAGATACAATGAGATGGATGCTCAGTGGAGTCCTATTTATTACTCTCCAAGGCAACCTGGACACGAACCAAGGCCAGTGGCAACCGATGTTGCTTCTTCGCCTTCATCTTCCCGTTACTACTCTCCATATGCAGAAGCTCAAGAGAAAAGCTACGATAGAGCTCCTGAAGATTATTCTCGTCTGCAGGTTAATTATCAACCTTTTCACGAGCAACTTCCGCAATACGCAGACAATATGTTATTATTTCCAAATGGACATGTACCATCTGACAAAGTTAGTTTTGAAGGGAGCACACATCATTCACCCCATGCACTTGAAGGAAACTTTATCTGTGAACATTGCCAGTTGACTTTCCAAAGAAATCAACCTTACCCAGATTCCCCTTGGAAGCCTGGGGAGAGACAGTATCCGGAGTCAAATATAGGAAGTGGGCTTCAACTCGGTTGTAGTCCTTGTGCTGAATGTCCTCCAAACAGGGAAATGCCCTTGAGGAGTACAAATGAAAACATGCACCATATTTGCTATCCAAGGGAACAAACTGATCCTCATGCTCTATCCAATGATACTCAAAATAACGAAAGAGGATGTGTAGTGCAGCATAACAATCTACCTAATACACATCATGTGCCACCATATTATGTCCATCATGACAGCCTTTGCAGTATTCAACATGGGCAAGAGTTTGGTAATAGGGTTTTTCTTGACCATGTGGTGGACAAAGGATCACAGGTACTTGTGCCACCAGTAGATGAGTGTGGAGTTCGATATGGGAATTCACCCTGTGCACATGGAACAGACCCTCTTTACCAATTACCACATGGTCATATAGTTGCAAATTCTATGTGGAGAAATGTTCATGGACCAATGCATAGGGGTCCCTCCTACGAGGCATTTGGTCCAACCCAGCTGGCAAATGACTCATCTGGTCCCACATTGGTCAGAAGATCAGTAGAAAATAGTCCTAGTTTTAAAACTGGGTTAGAGAATCCAAATCCTTGGGTCGATTTGTCACTGAAAAAGATGGCATTGGATGATCCTTCGTTGTCTGAATGCATTCAGGGACAAACATTGAGATTGACACCTAACGTTCTTGATCAAGATAGTCAATCTGCTTATACCCCTGAGCAGGCAAAATCATCCTCTGAAATGCTCAACCTAGTGGCTTCTGTGGATTCACTAGTGAAAGCTGACCAAGTTCTGCTTATTGATGATAAGGTGGTAGGTTCGATTATGACTGGAGCGTGTACAAGGCATTCTGATGTTGATTCTGGAGATTCCAAGGCTTTGAATGACATTCCTGTAGAATTCACAATGGCTATGTATACCATAAAAGGCAACAATGATTCTGTACGTGACAGTCCAGGTTTCATACCTGATTTGGTTGCATCTTCCCTGAATAATGTCAAAGAAGTAAGAGCTGAAGTTCTGGAAGATGCTCTTGCTGTCATTAAGGATGATAAAACTACAAAACTAGGAATCGGGGATGAGCCAGATGCAGTGAAGAGGGTATGTTTTTGCATTCAATTGTAATTTTACATTTCTTTCTATAATCTTTTCTTAATTTATAGGAAGCTCTTGGAGGCTCTGAGATAGATTCTGACAATGATAACGAGGATAATTCAAAAATTGAGCCAACTGAGGCAGAGGCAGAGGCCATTGAAAGGGGATTGCAGGTTTGTCTCACCATCTATTTTGGTTAAATATATACTGCAGTTATGCAAACCATTAATTGTGGGTTATGGATGTGCATTCATTTTATATGTATGATATTCTATTCACATGCAGACAATTCAAAATGAAGATCTCGAGGAAATCCGGGAGTTGGGATCAGGCACATATGGTGCTGTTTATCATGGGAAGTGGAAGGGGTCAGATGTGGCTATAAAGAGAATCAAAGCTAGCTGCTTTGCTGGAAGACCATCAGAAAGGAAACGCCTGGTAGGCCTTTTTGTTTATAAATTGCTCATTTTTTTACGCAGTGTTTATTGTGTGACATGGTCATTTTGTATTAATTGGTTGGTGGTTAAAGTTGTCTTAGAATTAATTCCACTTTTTGTAGCACGTCTTTTTAGTTTCATTTTAATCCCAACTTTAGTTTTCTTGCTTCTGCTTGACAAATAAGGATTTACTCAACTTCAGGTCCTTTCTGGTCACTTATCCAGAGAAAATAAAAAAAGTTTGTATGAAAGTTGGCTGAATATGCAGTCGAAATGAATTCATATTCGTGAGCCAATGTGGAAAATTTTAAAATCATGGAACACAAGTGGGAATGACCTATAACACTTGTATACAAAAAGGGAATATTTTTTTCTTATTATTTACATCCTGAAACCAGGCTATTCTATGGAATGGCCTCCATACCAGGCAACCACAATTGCATGACTACTTATGTCTCAGTGTTCAATTTGCTTTCTGTAATTGTTGAGGTTGAAGTTTATAGAGCTGTAGTATTTTTATTGTTGAACCCGGCATTTACCCCACTGATTTTGGTGGTTTACCTTCCGGGTTAAAAAAAAGTATTTTTATTGTTGAGCATTTGTTTTTATTGCGCATGCGATGGGGCACAGACTAATGTGCGGTCCTGGGGTTGAGCAACCTGGACAGCTTCCCCAGGTCTACACACATCAACGAAAATAGGCTAGAATTTTGGTGAACAAATAGGCCAAAAAATAGCGCTGTTATAAGAATAGGACTTTTATCAACTGTTACCATGGTTTGCTAAAACATGTTCAGCCTATTAATTTGGCGAACTAATAAGCTGAGCCCCATGGGGCAACCCTAAAATTATTGAATTCAAAGTTTTATTGAAATGCTCATGATAATGTATTGCCCATAGGATTCAAAAAGTCCAGGACCGCCTGGGTGTAAACTAGTACAACTCGTTGTGATGTTACATGATTCCAGTTCTCTTTCCATTTCTACGAAACATGGAGATTATTTACGAAGGTTCTGACTTCTGTGAGATATACTAACTTCTGTGATCTATCTAAAACCCAATAAAACACTATGTAACACATTATGGGAGACTTTTTCTCTTTAAATGTCAAAATTTCTACTGTAGTCCATGCAGAGTGGCAGACTGTGAGGTATACACTTATACTCCATAAAATTTTATTTGATTTGCATCCCTATTCAAGTTTTGTACACACATTTCTTTTCAGATCGCAGATTTCTGGAAGGAAGCATTGATACTCAGTTCATTGCACCATCCAAATGTTGTGGCATTCTACGGTGTAGTTCGTGATGGCCCGGATGGATCACTGGCAACACTGACAGAATTTATGGTGAACGGATCCTTAAAGCAATTCTTACGGAAAAAAGACAGGTGGCTTTAGCTTTCAGTACATCTTATACTCTTATCATTCGGAACCAGCAGCACCCTAGTTTCTGCTCATTTAAATCTTTGGCATTAATATAAGTACTTCATGTTGATCACTGATAAAAAAGACAGGTAGCTTTAGCTTTCAATACAACTTAGACTCTTATCATTCAGAACCAGCAGCATCTTAGTTTCTGCTTATTTAAATCTATGACATTATATAAGTACTTTATGTTGACCACTGATCAGGACCATTGATCGTCGCAAGAGGCTCATCATTGCTATGGATACTGCATTCGGAATGGAGTATTTACATGAAAAGAATATTGTACACTTTGATCTTAAATGTGAGAACCTTTTGGTGAATATGAGGGATCCACATCGACCAGTATGCAAGGTATGCCAGTGTTATAGTGTACATTTTTTATCATTAGTAAGTTAGTAACATGCTGATTTGTGGTGTGCAAGGATTTTACAGGGAAGATAACTTTTGGGCTTTTTTTCATTTATTTTACTTGCGTGGCCATCAGTGTATGTTTGCTATTGTAATTTGTCAGATGCGTTATGCTTGCTAGTATAGTTTGATGGACACGTCTCTTAATATATCTGTAGATTGGTGACCTTGGTTTATCAAAGGTAAAACAGCAAACTTTAGTTTCTGGTGGTGTTCGTGGAACTTTACCTTGGATGGCGCCTGAACTTCTTAGTGGAAAGAGTAACATGGTCACTGAAAAGGTAATTATCTGAGCATGAATACATAATGCCTTGTAGTCATCCATCTGTTTTAGTTACTGACTTACTGGTGTCATTTCTTCTGTTCTGGTGTACAGATCGATGTTTATTCTTTCGGAATTGTCATGTGGGAGCTGCTGACGGGTGAAGAACCTTATGCAGATATGCATTGCGCTTCTATAATTGGTATGCGTTGATACAATGAAGTTGGCTATAGGGATTGTATTCACATTAAATATAATAATAAGTGGATTTTATGAAGATTCAATAGCCAACTTGATTTTCGTAGTATCCTCCATCGATTTGGATATAATATCTAACTTGTTAATAGTGTAGGGGTGATACATAATAAGATACTGTAAGTACTTAGTAAGGAGCTGGGCTGCATGTATATTATATTGGATCATCATCAACAATATTATGTTGATAATAAGCTACACTTTTATTGGTATCACTATATCTTATTGAAAAATAAACTGCTTCCTCCGTCCCAAAATAATTGCCCACATTGACTGGGCATGAGATTTAAGAAAAAGAAAATGGTGTGGTTGAGATTAATTTGGAAGAGAGGAATATTGTGAACCGCTTGTCACTTTCCTTAAATAGAAATAAACAATAACACACGAAGGGAAATCAAGAAGATATTTTGGGGACAAAGGAAGTATTGCTTTTATGACTTATTACTGTCTTATTGATATGACTTTTGGCTTACATTATAATTTCTAAAGACTTATAATTACTGTGCTTATATAGATAAATGATGGGCCTAAATCCTCTAAGAATAGGAATCTTAACCCTGAGCCTAATAAAATAGGAAACCATAATAGTACATTACTAAAATAGGATCAATATATTTCTATAAATACTTGGAGCATCATATGGACATCATTACCTTTAATATTATCCTCAACTCGGAGCATCATATTCTTCAAGTTTGATGCAAAATACTCTATCCCCCAAAATCCAAGCAATGACTTATATATATATATATATATATATATATATATATATATATATAGGGGTGGATTTTAATACAAAAAGATCTTCCCGTGAAAAGTGAGAAGTGATCTAAGCCCTTGATCACTTAAAAATGGACGTAATAGATCTAAAAACGCGGTGGTAAAATGCTAAACCTAAATGTGCAATACTTAATAGTAAAAGTGCATATGCGATACGTAAGAGACCACATTCACCTCGTTAAAAAATATCACAAAATGATTTCTATAATAGTTATTTTATTTCAAAAAGTAATGCACTTTTGTGTTAGTCAAATGCACTTTTGCTCCATAGTGATGCACATTTATCACTTTATTTTTGAAAAAGTTCTAATATTTTACACTTTGCCACCACGTTTTGCACTTTAACAGATCTGATCCACTTAATTTCTCATTTTAATGGCTAAAATTACTTCCCATTTTTCATGAGTACTTTGTGTATATATATATATACATGCACTTGATTTGTGTCGGAGTCCCAGAGATCCTCAATCACTGAAATAGGAGCTCTCTTCTCACCCTAAGATGCATGACCTAGAAAGTCAACTCCTGAATATGGCAATGTCTGTTCAAAAAAACATCCTCACAATTAATACCAATAGAGCACTGATTATATGTAGTCGCATCTCTCGAAGTATTTACCTCTGGATTAACTTTATTAGTTAATCTCTTATTTAGAGAGTCCCTAGTTTCCATAGAGGAGGTAACGATTATTTCGATATTTTCGATAAGAAAATAAGAGAGTGAATTTACCTCATTAGTCATGGTAGCCTGAAAGAGATCATTGATGATTGCAAAGTCCGGTAAACGCAAAGAGTTACTAAGGTCTTCGGCAGAGTTCCGCTCCAAAGGTTTCACAAAAGAGGCGGAATTGCTTACCTACATAGAACTTCAATACTTCAGAAAAAAGCACCAGCGATTTCATCACATGAGAAAGAGATCCCAATCACAAGAGGAGTTCGGATAATATCTTGGAACTCAATGTTTTATAGGGAGGGTCTCTTGATTCTTAGGGTTGGTTTGTTTTATTAGTACTCTTCTTTTGGTTTGGTTTTTTTATTTTCTTTTATTTTCCTTTTTCGTCTTTTCTATGTAATATGTTCACTCTTTCATCAATAAAATTTCCCCTTCTTTAAAGAAATATATATACATGCACACATAAAGAATATACAAACATACATGCACACACATGTACACACACGCACCCACACACACACACACATATATATATGATTACTCTTTAATGGTTTTTTGATTGAAGGTAACTAGTTATCATTGATCATGAGGCAAAATTCCAAATAGTAAAATGTGGTTGATGAAACCAAACTGTACTATCAGAACACTCTATAAGTAAAACATTAATTTTAAAAAATAGTTTTTCTGTGTGTCGTCAATGAGCATGATAAAAGAGGATCAAATGAATTCTAGAGATAACCTGTAAAGAATATGATTCAAGAATCAGATTCAACTTTTATTTTATCTCAACCCTGATCCCGTCATCCCACGCCCAAGAGAGGCATCCCGCACCCAAGAGAGCGCTTCATAGACAGCAATAATTTCTGCTTCCTTCGGTTAGCATGCTTCCATGCTTCCCACCACAGACCCCCAGCCACAATCTCTTCAGCCCCACACTGAGCCACTCAGTCCAAGCCTCTATGCCCACCCGCATTGCTAACAACTGCATCAACATCGACCTCCACTCTCTTTAGAGGACCTTTAAGCGTTATCCTTCCCAAAATAAAAAGTGTACCTTGACCTAGCACTTGAGGAGTATTGAACTTAAAATTTGAAACTTGAGCTTGTACATTCAACCTAAGTTAATAGCTTCTCTTGATTTAATTCAAATGCACAAGTTTGAGTGAATGACCACATATATGTTTCTTCATTGAGGCGGGGTGAAAGAAGCATGTTATGAACCCAAAGAGGAAGAGTCTCATCCTTGATCCCACCAAATGTATTTAAGCTTGAGAGTAGGATATTGTTGATGAGTGAAGTTAAACCACTATGCGACAGGTTCACCCCTTTTAGTACAGCCCGGTCTTCTAATGGTGAACCTATGGCCATGCAAAGTTCCATGCATAAGCTTTATCTCTACTTATACAATTTTGAGCTACATCCCGTCAGCACCTCTTAGCCTTTCTGATACGCTAATAGCATATTCCTAAATCCATGGGCGATGCTAGTGGCGGATGCAAAAAAGTTAGACAACCGAGGCAATAGTTATAGGAGAAACTAACTATTATAACTACCATTTCGGGCTGTTCTCTTTTATCTTTTATCCCAATGATCAATTATTTCTATATAATCCCAACTATGGGTGCGTCTTCCCATAAGTCTCTCACATGCTTTAACTTGCTACAACAACAACATCCAAGCCTTTGGTCCCAAAAGATTTGGGGTTTAACTTGCTACAACTGAATACACTTAAAAAATGATAATCCGGTGTGGTGTTTATAGAATCCTAATTACATCTTGTCTGCTTATGTTAACCCCAATTACAATTGTTTCTTTATTTCCTTCAAGTTCACTTGCTCCTTATAATTTCTTCACAAAAGGGGCATCTCTTTCCGATTTAAAGGTTTACCAATTACTCTAACTTTGTTGGGTGCGGCTTACACTTTAGACTTCTTTCAACCCCCTCAATTTTTTAGTTTTTCATTTTGAATTTTCTAACTTGATACAGAGCTTCTTATAATGTTACCTATTTGGCACCTAACCTTTTATAAATTGTATTCCTTCCCTCCCGCTGGCGCTAAGATTTTCTCATCTTTCCTTTCTTTTCGGTCCGTCCCACTAAGACAGTCTCATACAAAATTTGGTAAAATTTGTGTGGTTCTAAATCATTCTTACTTTATTCTTACTTTATCAATTCAATATCAACCACATAAACCCACTTTTCTTAATAACCGCACCACCTCCTCATCATGTCCCAATGTTTGTGGGACAGAGGTAGTATCTGTTATCTACATATTGTGATATGCATTGGTGTATTTTAAGAATGATATTTGTATAGATTTTTCATGGATACATTTATGGAAGCATATAATATCCGGATATGTTAATTTTTTTCTTCACACATATTTGGAACATCAAATACGCAGTAAAAAAAGACTAAATATTACATACTCAAATAAATATCGAGATATATCGTGTCATCAGCTAACCAATACAAATATATGATTTCTGACCTAATGAAGCAACACTTCACCAATTTTTCCTTCTTTGGGGTTAATCAAAGACTACCTAACATAGTTCGGATATGATAACTAATTGTTCTTTGTGTTCATTAGAGCCATATGGCCCATATGTAACAGGTCACAGGATCTGTCAAACCCCATAGTTGGTATAAACAAATATGATCAAGTTTATAAAGATACAACCGACATTTGGGGTTAATAAAAGTGGATCGTCCGTAGACGGGTTTATTGCAATGAATTATTCCTTCTATTTATCATCAATAGAATTAAAGATATGTATATACTTTCTATAGAGACGTGACAAAAAAATACTTTTTTATAATGTGAAACTAGCAAGAATAGAAGCACAATAACACTTTTTTGTTACAGCTCAAATGATTGATATCAAACAAGTAACATAATGCACTCTAGAATATAGTGCACACAAACTTTTAATGAGTTAAAGATGGTTATTTACTTCGGAAGAAAGAGTCCATCGTGCTTGTCAAACTATTCTTAGTATTATGATTGTAAAGTTATTTAGGATGTAGGAAGCATTAAAATGACATTCCAATATAAGAAGTAAGTTTATTTTACAAATTACAATCTGGGAGTTAAAGTCATCAAGAAATTTATCAAAATGGCATTTCTTATCAGATGGGAGAGCAAAGTGGAGGGAGATTATTCGTGTGGAGAATTGATCTCTTTTCATCTTTTTATAATCTTTATCTTATGTTCTTTATCCTTTTTACCATTTTATCTTATATTTTTTTATCCTTTTTATCTTATCTTTTCTATCTTTATCTTATAGTATTTATCTTTATCTTTCCTTATCTTATTATCTTTCGTATCTTTTTAACTCCAATTTCATCTGTCGATTCATGTCGATTCATGTTAGCGGACCCCAAACTCTTTTGGGACTAAGGCTTGGATTTTGTTGTTGTTGTGGACATTTCTGATTAGATCCCACTGGGAGTATTTTTTTTTGTTAAAACTCAAATGGCGATAAATTCAC